TATACTTTATACCTCCAATTAGGCATACTTTTGATTTACCGTTCATCCTTCCCACACTTCAACGATAGTAATTCCATCTTAAAACTTTGGTTGTTAGTGGCTTATGAGTCGTAAATTTTACTTCCATTCAGCTTTTACAAATTTATTGTCTGTTCTAACAGAGTTTCAGTTTAAAAATGAGTTGAGAAATTACATTTTTTTTTAGTTTGCAAGGAAATGTACAAATGGACCCACAGCTTATCTATCCTTCAGTACTAGTGTTCTTGGAAAATGTTTTAAAAGAATGACTAAAGGTTTCATATTGATTTGATGTGAAGTTTTAAATGTCACTTTAAAACAGACTAATCGGACATGCATCATAAAATTAAAATACACCTCGTTAGATTTACAAATATCGAAGTGTTACTGGTCGACAGGGGATGGTTAGACCTCCATGGCGTCTAATTCAACTTCCATTGCACGGCATCTTATTCCATCTCCATGGCACCTGATGTTTTAAGAGGTCCGTGTTTGCTTTAAACCTTTTGGATATTGTAAAATAGGCTAGAAATTATGATTTGACAATTTCTTGATTTGTTCCCTTTAAGAAATTTCAAATAACTCCTACATATTTCCAATATAATTTCCTTATAATGCAATAAGCATTGCAAAATTAATTGATATTTATATTGATGTCACATTGAAACCTCAAATACCGTCTTATACATATTAAAATCTTTGGACAGAAATGGCGCGAGAGCACAATATCAACATATCTTACACACAATCGCCATGCTTTAATTAAAACGCGACACATAAACAATGCCCAGTTAAAAAAAGAAAAAAAATCGCTGACGTCATTTTCAATTCAAATTCTCCGACAGTTGACAAATATGAGATAAACCTTACTGCTTTTTTCTGTAGAACTTGGCACCATGATTTGTTTTCATTCTTGCTGATAAAAATGATGAAAAAGAAATAAAAGAGAATTTCAAAGGAAACTAAAGCACACTCAAATAAAAGAAAGCTTACTGGTTTGCAAAGAAGGTTTACAAGTTCTACATTTAAAGAATTTCCTATGTAAATGTATGTAAATACATGTAATTTGAAATGTAGAAATCAAAGCACTTATTTCACAATTTTTTGATATAATTTGAAAATCTTAATTCGGAATATTGAAATTAAAGCTTATAATTTCTTTCTTTTTTATAATTAAAACAAAATAAAACTAATCATAATCCCATGGATTTTGAATTGCAAACAACAGATGGTTATATTTCTGAAACTTCAAACACACCTTAAATTAATTTTCTCAGATCTACTGAAAATACCTAAACCAATTCAATATGTTTATCTAGCACATAAAGTAATGGAATTTAACAAAAATTCATGCGTCTATTCAATAAATACAAAATTGAGAACGTCAATAAAGCTGGTGAACATCTGGCAGAATGACCTCAAAGCCATTCAAATGGACACTAAAGAGTACCTTAAAAATCTTACATCCATGTTGAAAACTAATAAAACTACAGTAGAATCTATCGCCCGTCCTTGTGAAAAATGTCTTTCCCTTCCACATCCTCTGCGTCTATGGCGGAGTCACTATCCTAATGCTTTCTCCGCCGTTTTGGGTTGTAAATTTTGGGTCTGGTAGAAAACTAACAACTTTGATGGGTATTTTATTCACAAGTCCTTTTTCCTTCAGATTTTTATAGACCCAGAGAGTTTTATTATTCAGGGAGTACCACTTTTCTCCTATACGGCATACATCGATAGATCCCAAGCTCGAAATTTCACTTGGACTCTCCTGATATTTGTCCAGAATTTCGTAGATAGTTTTTCCATGTCTAAAGTGAGTTTTGATGGTTTCCTGTGAATAGTAAATTTCATCTAGATCAAGTTCCTCGGATTTCATTTTACCGGAAGTGTAATGAAGAGGTATTCGCAACAAAAAAAAGTTTTTGAACCCTATTCCGATTCAATGTTTTTGCATAAACGAAAAATCCATATTACTTATTCAACAATAATGTATGTGTCGCATTCTTAAAAGGTTGTCTTGTATGCGCTTTGAAAATATCTTTCAAAAAAAGGTCAACGCTAGAAATAATTGACATTTTGATAAGGTTTAAATGCCTATTTAATTTCGAGATAGGATACAAGCCTGTACCTTGTAAGATATTCAAATCGGTAAAACAACTCAAAAAGAACATATTTTAAATTCAACACGTTCAAATATTCCATGAGAATCTACATGCAGATAAAAAGACATGCATGATGGCACAATCAACTAAAACAATCCACCCTCTACCACACAAATTAATAAGAATTTCTTTCACATAGTATCTAACCATATTTATCGTTTACATAAATAAGTTTTATTGATAATCTCAGACTACTTTATCTTTTTATTGCAATGGTGATGGTGTATTCACTGACAATGCAAATCAGAAAAAGAACAAAGACCTCTAAAACATCAGAGGTTTCATCAGGTGCCATGAAGGAGTGAGCATCCCTTGCCAACTGGTCATACCCGCCATGTGCTTCTTGTGATGATCGGGAAATAACGGAAAATTCCGCCGGCAATTCAGTGTGTAAATAATGGTCTAAAAATTATTATGAAAACTGCCAGTCAGCATTTGACCCGGTGATAAATTGTATTTATTGACAAAGTCACTGTGTCGACCATAGAAATTTAGAAAATATGACCTTAAACGAGACTGTAGATATTCTTATTCAATTAACATGTTTGTCAATAACATTTCTCATTTTCAGAAATTATTCGTCCGTAGAACATGCTTTTTTAAAGACTGTATCGAATCAACTTACATAAAGTTGACATAAACCCCATACACAGGTGATAAGGTTATATATTGCTCCATAAGTAAGCGACGTTGACGATTGAACAGTTCAAGTTATCACGTTCATCATAAACACCGTATACAACGGGTAACGCGGGGAGTCGCTAAAACGTAAATGGGAGTAGATTTTCACCGCCTTGGAGTCAGAAGAGATGTAGGTCACGTCTTTTTTCGGTATTTGTAATGTGTATTTTCAAAAAAAAAAAAAAAAAAAAAAAATATCCCACGGAATGTACCAATAGTTAAGCTTTGTATTGGTCCTTTGTCCAAGTTTCATATGCGTCTAGTATTCTCAAACACTTCGAAACTATTCGACAGATTTCATATTTACGGTGATCAAGTGGTCAAAACATGCATGGTTTGCACAATCTACGACTTGCATGTGGCTTCTTACAGTTAAAACAGGAAAAAAACAAACGTATATCTTTTAGAAGCAATAATTAAAACTTGACTAGACTTTGTAAAAATTAACAATTAAGACATTTTCTCTTCAGTCAGTAATTGTAACATAGGGGGGAGCTATTTCTGGGAAAACACAAAATACTGAAGTCGAAGCCTTGCTAATTTCCTGCTAAGTGAGATTTATTTTGCAAGAAATATATGTAAAAGAACAATATTCAAGCTCAAAACTTTACCAAACAATACAAAATTGGTGGCAGAGCAAACACAGACCTCCAAAACATTCCGGTGCCGTGGAATAGAATACCATGTAACGTTCTATTCCTTGAGACGAAGATGAAATACTTTTAAAAATTCAGATTCTGTGTTTTAAATTGCATATTTTTACAACTAGACCAATACTTTATTACACATTAATTCATTTCTACTTTTTTGTTCACCTCTGACATTGTAAATTCTTTGCCTTCTTTCACTTCTTTGCGCATTTCTTTCATTTATGCCAGTAACTGACTCAATTCGTTTTGAGACAAACATTTCTATGGCATTTTTCTCTTGTATAGATCTATAGTCATTTAATTCATTTTGGTCGTTCAATGGGCATATGCATGACACCCACTTCCTGGTGCATTTGTTCAAGACTTCGTTAAACATTGCTTAGCTCTTTTTAACTTCCAATTTCCTCTGTTAATCTTTTCCAACAGACTATTCCACTTTATTGCTCAAAAATTCTTTGTTAATAATATCATTTTTGACTTTTTAAATATTTTTTCGTGTTCATCAACAAAATGGCCAAGCTTGGAGATTTGATCAAACTTCGTCCGAACGTTCAGGAAGAGTCATCCAATGCATAATGAACAATTCATAATGTTTTTTATGTAAAGAACATCGTGCATGTTTTATGAAAAGGAAATCAAAACAGTATCATAAATATATAGACAGTCTATTTAGAATATATTCGAATAATTATAACCAGAAAATTGACACTATCAGAAAGGAAGCAGTAATTTTAGAACACAATTAAGCTCATAAGGAAGGTGACATATATTATATCATCACTCAAATGTGTGTTAAAGTGAGAATTATAAGTATGTAAAGGCACAAATAGACGTTAATACAACATAGAGATGATACTATATGATGACAATATTTATATGGGTCTTTTTCAAATAACCAACTAATTCGGTGAAGAAAAAAAATCGTATGCTTAAACTTTTTAACATAACGAACATAAATGTATATACAATTACTAAAACAGTCAGATAGGCTGTGGTATACCCCCTCAGAAATATTGGTGTCATCTTTACTCATAAAGTACTGATGAGCACATGATATAAGTTGAAGACCATCTCTGTTAATAACCACATTAAAAGTCTTGACAGACCTTCAAATTAAAAGGGTATCTCCCTCCTGTAGGTATGTAGGTACCTTGCTCTCAAAGAAATTTTAAAATTTGAAAGCTCTTAAAATGTTGACTGATAGGCAGCTAGACAATATGATTTTATAATAGTTTTGGATTTCTTGCTAGACTGTTATTACATAATCGTCCCTTAAACGGTTTATTAATTCATGCAATTGTGCGTCTTTGTATGTCCATAAATTGATTCAAATTGCGATGAATGGGTTAAATTGATATCTTTCGAATGCTATATTTGAATCTTTTTCTTCGTATGACGATAATTTTGAAATCTCTTTAGAATTCTTTTTCTGTTAAATGAGAAATTAGAACTGCATAAGTTTACATGTAGACCAATGTTATGTTCATTGTCATTTTCTACTTCCCTGTGGCAGTTTGAATTCTTTGACTTCTTTCACTTCTTTGCGCATTTCTTTCATTTCTGCCAGTAACTGTCCCATGTCGCTTTTGAGACCGTCATTTTGGGACTTTATTTTCTTATACTGTTCACGAACTTTTTGTATTTCTTTAGCATGCATTTGATTCAGTCTGTTAATTTCAGAATTTGCTTTCAATAAATCCGCTTCCAACTTTTCCAGTCTGCTATCACTTGTGCTTTCCTTTGTTAAGGATTCCTTCAGGTCGCTCTTTGCCTTTTCAGAGGAGCTCTCCATATCAGTCATATTTTTCTTCATTTGTTCAAGGTTTTGGTAGACATCATGCAATTCCTTCTTAAGCTTCACCACCTCCGCCATTCCTCTTTTTCTTTCCTCTGATTGTTCAGTTTTATTCTTCAGAAGTTCTTTGTTGGTTTCTTGAAGAACAGTTATACCTTCTTCGGCTTTTTGAATATTTTTTTCAAGCTCGTCAATGTGCTTGATTTTTTCGCGAATATCTCTTTTATGATTTTTCTGAATTTCTGCTATTTCATCCTCCTTATTTTGAAATGATTCTTTCAATTCTTTTATTTTTTGGTTTGCGTCATGACGAATTTGTTCATTTTCTTCCAGAAATTTTTGAGCATCTAATCGTATTTTAGTACGTAGAGCAAATACGATGTCCTCCATTTTTTGGTTATCAGTGGTTTCCCCAACGTCATCTTCTGAATCACTAGAAAAAGGCGTAGCCGACCCCGAAGATAAAGAGTAACCCCTAGGATAACCCTTTCCTTTGAGCTCCATATCTAAACCCTGCAAATTTCACAAAAACATACAATTCTTTTTTGTGTAAACTATAGACATTTGCACATAACTCAGATGAAAAACGTGCAATACTTCAAAAGACCTTATTTCTTATAAGGGGGTCCAATTTGATCCCATACTGTTGAAGGCATATGCATTTTCTACCAATGATTGTTTTATTAATGTATATTTTGACAAATCGAACAAAAACTGTTGACAGTGAATACTGCATTGTAGCAAAATAAAAATGTTGTATTTTTATTATACCAACATGAATATTTAAAAAAAAAATCACACAAATTCATTCACACACCCCCTTTCAATAACTGCATATCTATGAAAGTCATTCTCAGTCAATCAACGTTAATAGCAATTAGAAATATGTGCAAAACTCCCAAAACTATGAAGCATATTTTATTTTTCAAAAAAGCTGATTATGAGTTTTTTTCAAATAATTTTGTTATTTAAGTTTGTTAATATGAATTAAGATTGACGTGTGTAAAATTATTATTAAACAAAAGAATTTAAAAGCATAACATACTTCTTTTTTCCCTCTAGTTGCTGTCCGAGACCGTGACGTTGACATCTTGTTGGTAGCGCTAACATCAGACCACTGCGAGGAAAATAACCTTGTTAATTTTTTTAAAAATCAAAATGAAATTTGAAGAATCACGTGTTTCTAGCATAGCAACAACGAAACAAAGTTTATTGAAACGGGAAGTAAATCGAAGCTCGACTCGGTGTGTTTCTGGGAATAATGAATGTTAAAAAAATTCTATCTTAAAAAGAAGAGTAGGAAAATAAGTTACAGAAAATTATAGGTCTAATCGTCACCACAAGAAAACGAACAAAGTGCAAATAAAAAGTACCTATGATAAAAAGGACAAAGACATGTCTCATGCAGAATTGAGACAAATGTAATTTGTATAAGAATATTGGAAGGAAGGAAGAAATATTTACAATCAATTTTAAAGGAGTTCAAAAATGATGGTTGCTTCTTTCATAAAACAGTATTAACCATAAATGGTTACAATTTTCCTTTTCAGTCTTACTTTAAGTTTAACGTAAATTGATTTGGTTTTTCTTTTGGTCCGGGATTGCTAATCAGTTGCTTTGTCCCTCATCTTGTTGCAACTTTCTGATTTCCCAGTCTTTTCATTATTTGTTGAGGTGAGGGGGTTTCTTGATGGCTTATCATTGTCGTCTGTCGTCTATGTGTCGCCCGTATAAACCGAGGTTCCGTGTCGCAGTAAGTTCTTGCCTCACTGCTCAATGGCTCCGAGTGCCAAGTATAGGACAACATTTGTGCCTTTCCACCGGCAAGTGGTGGCATCTACTAATGAGTGACCAATTTTCAAAGGGACGTTTATCTATCATTATCGTCTTTCCATCCAAATCAACATTTTCACATATGAAGAGGCATTAATTTACTGACGTACTCATTCTCATTATAAATTGTTAAATCGAACTTATTGAATCCAGTTTGTCGCACGTTTACATGAAACATGTAGATAATGATCAATTATAACGCTCAAAGAACCGTTGAGGCCTGCTCATTTCCATGGATATTTCTGCATTTGAACTGGTCTGGTGATAGGACCGTTTAATTTGCAAAATTATGACTGGATGAGATTGTTGATATTCCTGTTTTATCAACTTTTTTCTGTAGAGAAATTGTTCGTATATACAGCAAGCTCCTGCGTATCGAATAAACTGGGAGACATAAACCCCATATGCAGATGAAAAAGATATTTTGCTTTAGAAATTGGGGATGTTGACAATAAAAGGTCAATTCACCATCTTTACAAAAATTGATTGATTGTATATTGTTTAACGTCCCTTTCGAGAATATTTCACTCATATGGAGACGTCACCGTATGCCGGTGAAGGGCTTCAAATTTTGACCTTTACTCGGCACTCAGGCCCATTCCATTGATCAGTGAGGGATCTTTATCGTGCCAACACCTGCCGCTGACACGGGGCCTCGGTTTTTAAGGTCTCATCCGAAGGACCCGCAACTTTCACTTCAAAGTGCCTAGCGCATGGCGAAGGAACAGTTGCTACGCATTTTATCGACTGGGTCAGTCGCGGCCGAGATACGAACTCTTGACCTCCCGATCACGCAGCGAGCGCTCTACAGACTGAGCTACCGTGAACAAAAAAAAAAAAAAAAAAAAAAAAAGAAAAAAAAGAAAAGAAAAACGTTTGTATTCGATAACCAATATATCTTTCTCTATGAATATATCTGAAAATGGAACTATGTTTCAGGCTCTTTGCGATCTTTTATTTAAAGGAATATATCGAGTTGACATATAGATAGAAGTAAATATCTGTATTTTATAACACTTCGTCGATATACCTAAATATCTGAATGAACGCCATAGCAAGTGTTTTCAACTTCTCATGTATAAGTTTTTTTCAATGATATCTGTTTACTATGGATACAGAAATAGCTCTGCTTATAATAATGGGGCTCAATTTGTACCTGTGGTTATTCCGGCAGACTGTTAGAGAATCTGAATTCCAACAACAACAAAAATTGTCAATCAGAACATCTTTTATATCAACTGCCGTGTTATTGTGTGTACAAACAAAAAATTTTAACCACATTATTTTGATTATGACAATGTAAGATGTTTTACGTGTACCATTTGTATTAAAAAAGAAAACAGCCGTATGTTATGTCAATAAGCCTAGACTTGAATTTACCTTGGGGATAAGTGGTATAAATAGTTTAAAAGTTGTACGTTTTGATCTTAATATGTTACGATTTCAAATTTCCTGAATGTTCCTTCTCTATTTAATTATAAAAAATCAACAACTGCTATATAGTAAGACACTAAGTCAAGTGAAGAATGCGAGAAAATTTGATCGAACAATGCAGGAAGTCCTTCGGTTTCAATGCAGTGTACAGGGGAATAAAATAAAGAAGCTGGATGACCATGCAAAAGACAAGGAGGAGCATCAGACATATATAGGAGCATACATGATATCTTGTGATACTTGGTCAAACAGCCTTGTTTTAATGCATTGCTATTCCATCTAGAACATCAAAAGGTTTTGCAAAAACTTATCAGATTCATGATCAGGCCTCCAAAAAGAAATCACAAAATGAACCAATTGGCCCAGGACTGTCCGGCTTGATAAGCAATTTCCAAATTAAGGTGAACCGAAGCACGTAAAATATCAGGATTTTTTTCTGCAACTATGGAATGCTTTCAGTGTCGATAATTCTGAACATTTCAATTGGCCTATTACCTGTTTGTCATTATTGATGATGGAGATAATCAAATCTGTGTAAGCCCTTAGTGTAATATATGCTTTGAAAAAGAGTTATCATAGATGTATGTTGGTCTTAAAATGTAGATTCAAGTTTGTTCAAATCATAACCCAATGTATAGAGGAGCCACAACGAAAATTCAAATTTGAAGGGAAAAAGCCGCAGATAAATATAAAACTATGTTAGCATCCTTAGGTGGTGTAGATTCAATTTTGTTCAGATCATACTCCCTCTCCCTTTAGGGGTAGGTTGGGACCACTTTAAGCTTTTTCATAATAAACTTGTTGCTTATAAACTTTTTGCTTTTTACCTAGTCACAGTGCCTAGTCTGGGTGCCATAAAACTTAGACGAGCTCACTTTTAATCTCAGTCTCACTTTTTCCATAGGAATTTTCCGAGTTATTAGTGAAAGTGAGACTGAGATCAAAAGTAAACTCGTGCATGTTTTTGTCTCCCAGGTATGGACTTCTTGCTGTTCTTGTTTGTCTGTGTCAGAGTTCATGTATTATTAACTGCTGGAAAGGAGAACTTCTAGAAAACAGACCCAAAGAACTTGCATCGCCATTTTTAACATCAAAATGCATGATTTACACTTTAGAGAACAATTCCTCTCAAAATTAAAAACTTAATTTTTTATTCAAAATTTCACAAAAATGTGATTTGAAGTGAAAAATGTTTGTATAGATTAATAAGGATGGTTTCAGACGGGCAGACTTTTGAACTTCACAGAAGGTTTACAATTTCTTTATATTGTAGAAATTTACCATTTCCATCAGTTGTAATGTAAGTAGGTCAAAAAATATATATATATCGATCCAGGCATCCATTTTTTGTTTGTATCATCTGTCCTTAACAACATTTATATCGTCTTCCGACAAACTATGAATTCTGATGGGCACTTCCATTTATATGTCGAATTGATATATCCCAGTGTACTTGAAATAGAAGACATCGCAGTGTATGCCACATCATCGTCGCAAACCACGGCCAAAATGTACGCTCCTCTCCCATTCTGGAGAGAGCTATATAAGCGGACTCCGGACAGTGGCTTGGGACGTTGATGCCACATTTGCTTCGTATTTGAAATATTACAAACGAAAAAATGAGAACCAAAACAAGTATACATGTAAATTGTATAACAAACAAGATGTTGTCAGTTTTCCATCGTCGACTTTTCTTATTTTTGAGTAATATCCTGCGATCGCCTACGTATGGTGTTTACATCTTACAACTTATTCGATAATGAAGAGCGTGCTTTGAATACGGCCAATTTTAAAATCAAAACAGGCTACTGATAAAAAAGTTGATGTTACAGGGACTTTAAACTCGTTTGAAGCCAACATTTCTTAAATTCTTTGGTTGTTATAACGACCTTGTAAGAAATATGACGAAAATCCAATTGCTAAAGTCTGTTTTTATTGAGAATGTGACTACAGAATGTTCAGTTTACCTGTTCAATACCTAGGTCTTCACGGCGGTTGTGAACGGTCAACATGGGATGACTAGGCAATTGATCCCACCTCTGGAACTTCCGAGGATCCGTGTTTTATGGCCTTTTAACAAATTTGTGTTTATTTTAGTTATTTGAAATCGATGACTGTTCGTCTTCTTTACGTTTTACATTATGTACCCGAGACATATTTTATGTATATTAATGAAGACACATAAGATATGATTATTTCTTTATTCAAATATTAATCAAAATACAAAAATAAACAATAGTCAGACCTGTTACATCATATCTAATCATGAAAATTTTGTTTGATATTGTTTAATGTAAAGTTCCCCGGTCATGATAAGGAGCACATGGTTGGTGTGACCGGTCTGCAGGGGAATGCTCACTCCTCCAAGTTACCTGATCCCATCAGAGATCCATGTTTGCTCTACTCTTGATTTGTATTTTAATGGACTTTTGAGTTCGAAAACTGTTCGTTATATCCATATATTAGAATATACATTTAGGTGTTCCAGCAATCTATTGGAATTCCCATGGGTACCAATTTCGCCCCGTTATTAGCAGACTTTTATTTGTATTCATGTGAACCAGAATTGTCCCAGATCTTATGCGTGAAAAGAAGAAAACACTTGTTGTTGCCTTCAACTCGACATTTATATATATCAACGACGCAATGTTTATTTCCATTCAATGTCAATACAAAATCTCCGTGAGCTTGCAAAATAAGATACCATAGAGTATGACATATCTGTTTCATATTTGGATATATTACTTGAAAGGACCTAAATAGAAATCTAGCAACCAAGCGTTATAAATGTGATGACTTTAACTTTTCAATCATCAACTTTCCTTACTTATGCAACAAAAAAAAACATTCATCACCTGCATACGGGGTTTATATGTATCAGCTGATTTAATACAGGTTGCTGAAACAAGAATATTTTAGTCAAATGCTGACTGAGGCTTTTCAAAATGATCGTTAGGCCATTATATACACACTGGATCGTCGACGGATTTGTCCGTTAAAACCCGATCATGACAAGGAGTACACTTTTGGTGTGACTGATAAGCAGGGGATTCTCACACCTCCATGGCACCTGATCCCAACTCTTTTTTTGGAGGTCCGTGTTTGCCCAGCTCCAATTTTGTATTTTTTGTGGACTTTTCAGCTTGAATACTGTTCGTTATCTCCATATATTCCATTCGGTATTTACAGAGAAAATTATATGACCCAGGAATGCATAGGTGTCTTCCTCTCATCTAGTATATTATTTCTTATAAAATTTCAAAGAACTAAGTCGAAAACCTGCAGGAACTGTATTTGAGGTAACATGATATATAAAAGTACATTCTTTTTTTTCGTATTACATACGTCAAACAATAACAGTGATATTACATCAACTTTAATAAATGTATTTTTTTTATTTTAAAAATTTTGAATACATGTGTTGAAAACAGATTGAGTCACTGAATATTACGTCACAAATAATGTCTCGGGTATATATACATGCAAAAAAAATATTTACAGGCAGACAAAGAGAATTAAGAGATATGATCCATACATCTGTAGTTGTCTTGCTTTTACAGAAAAAAAAAATTGAAACGTTTCGTGGAGAGCTGTTTCAGTTATGCTGGAACAACGATGGTGCTGACAAGAAAACAGCTACACGGACAAACCATGCGATTTCTATCGAGATTCTGCATTCCATATGGGGTCCTAGCAATAATTCCGATATTACATAATCGTCTCTGGAACAACTTATACATTTGACTGTACCTTATACATCCGTTCTTCAGATGTTAGTAAGATATTCAAAATGGAATGAATGGTTTTCAATGACACATTTGAAATGATATATTAAATTCTTTTCTTGGTATGAAGATGATTTTAACGCTCCGTAGAATTTAGGTCCTGTATATATTCAGTGAGAGTTTTTCATACATTTGTGTCTATTATTTCATTTGTCATTTTTTATTTCCCGTGGCATTTGGTATTCCTTGACTTCTTTCACTTCTTTGCGCATTTCTTTCATTTCTGCTAGTAGCTCGCTTATATCGCTTTTAAGACCATCATTTTGTGACTTAATTTTCTTATATTGTGTACGAACTTTTTGTATTTCTTTAGAATGTAGCTGAATCAGTCTGTTAATTTCAGAATTTGCTTTCAATAAATCAGCTCCCAACATTTCGATTTTGCCATCACTGATGCTTTTCTTTCGTTTAGATTCCTTCAGGTCTTTTGATTGTTCATTGGAGTTTTCCATATCTTTCATTTCTTTCTTCATTTGTTCCAGACTTTGGTAGACATCATGCAATTCCTTCTTTAGCTCTGCCACCTCCGACATTACCTTTTCTCGCTCCCCAGATTGCTCAGTTTTATGCTTTAAAAGTTCTTTGTTGGTTTCTTGAAGAAGAGATATACCCTTTTCGGCTTTTTGAATGTTTCTTTCGAGCTCTTCAATTTGCTTTATTTTTTCGCGAATTTCTCTTTTGTGCTGTATCTGCATTTCTGCTATTTCATCCTCTCGATCATCTAAAGATTCTTTCAACTCTTTGATTTTTCGGCTTGCCTCATCACGAATTTTGTCATTTTCCTCTTGAAAATTTTGAGCATCTAATCGAATTTTACTACGTAGCGCAAATATGATGTGTTCCATTTTTTGGATATCATTGGCTTTCTTCGCGTCTTCCTCTGAATCACTAGAATGAGGACTGGCTGATCCCGATGATGAGGAATGACCAGCAGAATAACCTATTCCTTGTATCTCCATTTCCAAACCCTACAAAGCGATGAGATACATGTTGGTAAAAGAAACATTTTAATCTTGACCTTTCCTCTGACATTGACTTCAATTTGTGTTTAGCTAAACTGTAAAGAAAGTTTTTAGTCAAATTTTATGTGCTATACATAAAGATGAAAGGTATTTCATCAACACTTGTGACCTTGATTTTTCCTTTGATTTTGACTTAATTTTTTGTTCTGTGTAATCTCAAATAAGTCCAGATACATTTATCAATCTTCATGAAGATTGAGGAGAGCTATTCAACTTCATCATTTAATTGGACCTTTGATCTCATCTTTCTCAAATGCGTTTTTTTCTAAGAAACTTTTATGTTGGATTATTATACAGCATGGTACATTATTTGTAGGGATGTCAACGGATATTCGAATATTCATTCGATGAGTTAACATTCGAATATAAATATATGATTCGAATATTCGGTTGTAAAGTATACAAGCATTTAACAGAGAAAAAAAATCTTGCAAGTTTTATTTGAAATTGAACCAAATTGGACTAGGAATAATATTTGATTAAAAAAGAAATTAAAAGACACTCCTGTTGAATTACTTTAAAAGTGTGAAGAGTGTATCTATTAGAATAAATTATTCTTTGATCATTTAATTATTGGTATATAAAGTACTTGCAATCAGTTTGTATTGTTTAAGAACACAGCTGTACAGAAAACACATTGATCCCTTGTTTATGTATATATCGTTAAAATAATTATCAGGAAATTGATTAGCTAAAATTAATTGAATTTAATTTTTCTTCAGTAGATAATTCTTTAGCGTGGTATGAATTTGTAGGAGTAATTAGTGCAGGCTTTGCTACATTGTAAGACGATCAATTAATCTGGAACATACTAAAGAATATTTTGAATTTTCAAAAACAATTTTTTATTACATTTTGGATTTACATGTATTTACTCTTCATATACTCATTAAAATTTTAAAAATATAATTACTTTGCATTTACAAAACTCTACTTGAAATTTTATTCCAAAATAATGACATCAAACCTATACTGGTTGACTGGACTGTGAAAATATATATTCTATAATGCAAAATGTATTTATTTTATCGAATATTCGAATATATTCGAATACTCCTATCGAATATTCGAATATCAATTATTGACAATTTTGACATCCCTAATTATTTGGGAGGAATTTATCAACTGTGTCCATTTCTGATACTTTGAACTTCCTAATGACCTATGACTATACAATTTATTGTATATTAAACTCAGTTTTAATGGATATCTTCAATATTTATTTTCATCAAACTTCCTAGATTAATACAAATTTGCATGTTGCATTACTTGTGTACCCCTTGCGGATATATAGCTTGCTTCTCCAATAGACATATTTCTATTTGATTCATTGATTTTATTGCATGGCTTGGGTTCTGTTCTAATGCCCTGTTCACACGGAGAGTTTAATTCGAATTAAACGTAAAGTTACTGCGAATTAGCTTTGCTTAGCGTTCACACGGAGAATTTAATGCGAATTAGTTTAATTCGAATTAGTTTACTGCGCATTAAATTACTTCGCATTAGCTCCGTGTGAACGCTAAGCGAAGCTAATTCGAATTAAATTTTGACGCATGCGTAAGGCCAGAATTAAGTCACAGGGCACGTGTTGGTGGTTAGATACAGGTATTTGTGCTTTATTTGGTTCAAAAATTAAGGAAAAGTATGCTAATCACTGAAATTAATGTATACCTGTAGTCACTACATGATGTATCAAATGGATGGCTCTGCATACATGACGTGATTTACAAATGACGTCATAATAGACTTACTGACGACTGACTGTAGAAGTAAAATTTTAATTCGCATTAGTTTACTTCGCATTAGCTGTCGTGTGAACGCAATTTAATTCGCATTAATTTGATTCGCATTACTTTACTTCGCATTAATTTACTGCGAATTAAACTCACCGTGTGAACAAGGCATAAATCAGGAAGATCATATTAACAGAATCTTCAATTTACGAAGCTTTTTCTTTAGACCTCTGACAAGACAGATAATTTTTCAAGGACGTTTTAAGAGCAATCCAATGAATAGTCCTACCAAAGTTAATGATGACGACAATTATATTCCAGGTATCAAAGTAAACAAACTTTGATCTTTCTATTCACTGCCTCTATTTTTCTTCATATCATGATTAGGCATGATATTCATTTCTGAAAAGTAAGCAACACTTAATACCTCATACTATTTTCCATGTGTCTTGAAATTAAAATCACAATAAGCTTTATCTATCTGAGGTGTTTAGCAATGAAAAAAACCCGTCGTTTTCATGATAAAAAAGATAACATTCAGAGAATCTTTTTAAAATACCAAAATTTAATTGGCTCCTTAGAAGACTTAAAAGTAAAAAATGACTCTTGAAATTGCTGTTCACAGGAAGAATTACTTAAAAATAATTGCAAGTTGAATATAATGACCCAGTCATTAATAAATAATGACAATAATAATTAAGCAAAAATACTATTCAAAATAATTTTTTCGCTAATTCATTGGAAATTTTGTCATATGCTTCGTTACAATGTCAGATTCAACGAATGCAGTATAAGGGGACAAGTCTAAGAATTGCCTTAAAGTTCCTACAAAATTATTAAAAAAAAAAAAATAAAAAATAAAAATTCAAGATGATGCTAGGATAATTTTAGACACATTAATCATAGAGTCGTTCGTAAGCGAGTGTTAAATGGCCGTGCAAAAATTTAAAACTGAACATCCTAAAATGAAACCTAAAATAAAATGGACAAATTTGAAATTCATAGTAAGTTAAAAACCTCAAAGAGGAAAAGAGAATGTATAATACATATTTGATTAGCTCTAGTTTACCACAATATTTTCTGTCAGAGTATTTCTGTTTTAAAATACCATTTACTCATCCTGAATCATGAAAAGGACGACTTTCTCATACTTTGCACAGGACTGACTTCCATAAGGGAAAATTAAATGTATTTATACATTTTGACAGAGAAACTGTTTTGCAGAAAAATAGAAACAATGTGCTTTCTATTCAAACGTATTCAAAACATATATAAGGATTTATCGTGAATGTATTAATTTATTTTATTGATATAATTTCACCCTTCTCTCCACTCATAAGAAGGTACAGTATATCGGAATTATCATTAATTCCTAAGACATCAATCAAATTTTACTCTAAATTCTAATATATATATTTTTTAATTCTCGAATCATTTTAAAACATATGACAAAATTGATCTTGATTTCAATAAATTAAATAGGGGAAACCATTTGTTATATTTTCAAAATTTTAAAATAAAGTAAAAAAAAAAAAAAACATACTTCCCTTTTCCCTTTGATAGCTGCCTGTGCCTGTGATGTTGCCATTTAGAGGCTTACATCAGATCCCCGCAGTGAAAATTAACATTGTTACATGTATTTAACTCAAAATTTGATTTGAAGAATCACGTGTTCTAGCATAGCAACAACAAAACAAAGATTACTGGGCTAAGAAGTAAACGGAAGCTCGACCCCGTATGTTTGTTACAAAGATTTAAAAGATCATCAATTTTTTTTTAAAAATATCAAATGTGCTTTTATTCAGGGATAATAATTCTAAAATACCAATTGTTAACACAGGTACTTGTGGACAGGACCCCCCCCCTTCGATATTCAACCCCGGGGCTTATATGACATTTTTTTTCACAATTTATATTTATTACACTTATTCAACATGTTTGCAATAGGAATAAATCGTCAAAACCCCAAAATAATCGCTCCAAAACAAAAACTCCACAAAAAAATAACCCACAATTACAGTGCAGCGATTATTTTGGGGTTTTGACGATCTATTCCTATTGCAAACATATTAAATAAGTGAAATAAATATAAATTGTGCTCCAAAAAGTGTTGCATGCTTCTTTTGGATCATTCAAAATTTTGTCATTTTCACATAAAGGGATTGTGTTTTCTGCAGATTTGGATTTCTTTGGATAGGAATGGTTTGATAGTTTTCCATCTGAACTTGGTGAGCAAGGGATCTCGGTTTATACGGTCTCATCCGAAGGACCGGTTTCCAAGTCTCACAGGCCAATAATGCAAATATTATTGTGAGAGGGAAACAATTAGGGATAGGCTATGACACTAAGTCAAGTGAAGAAAACGAGCAATTTGACCGAAAAGAACGGAAAGCAAGTGGGTTTGCATGCAGTGTAAAATGGTAGATGAAATGAAAAGCAGGATGACCATACAATAGACACTTAAGAGCATTGGACATATAGGAGCATACAATATGAATTCGGAATACACTGTTATGCAGTCTTGTTTCAATGCACATATTAGCTAGCCAAGAGTTTTCCAAATTCAAACTTCTTCTTACCCCGTAGGTCAAGTATTTTTGAGGATTATAGAAGCGTATCAGAAACCCTTGACTAGTGAAGATTTTCAAAACATTGCTATACTGTATCGCTTCAAGAAAACGGCATTTACCCTGAGGAACCAAACATGACGAACATAAAGGTTTTGCGAAAAACAAAGCAAAATTTCTAAGATCCAAGGCCAAATTCCAGGAATAAATTAAAAAGTAAACAGCTTCGTAAAGGACTGCTTGACAAGACTGCTTGACTTGTCAACCCCCCCCCTCCCCCAATTATGACAAACTGAAGCACTTGAACTTCCTCCGAAATCATAGAATGCCGTACCCAACAAAGTAAACAGTGATTTCTTGAAAATAAGAAGTTCTAGTCAGACCTGTTACATCATATGCAATCTTTGTTTTATTTTCCTAAATATTTAGTTTCCCAATTATTACAAGGAGGACACGCTGGGCGTGACTGATCGGCAAGGGATACTCACTCTTACATGGCGCCTGACCCACCAGAGATGCTCCAGAGGTCCCTATCCTTGCGCTGCTCCTGACTTGCATTGTTTAATGGATTTTTGAGCTTGTTCGTTATCTCCATATATTTTATCAGTAAGATTTAAACAAAGAACAGAAGAGATAAAATTATAGTTATCTTGTCTTCGTATATTTCATTTAGTATACACACACACAAAGTGATATCACCCAAGAATGTATTTTTCTAATAGTAAAATACATGTGTTGAAAACAGATTGAGTCACTGAATATTGCGTCTCAAAAATACATACAGACACACAGATTTAAAGACAGACAAAAAGATATGATCGAAACGTCTCACTATGTGCTTTTCTTGCTTTTACAGGAAAAAGTTATAAACTTTTCTTGAAAAACTGTTCAAGTTATGGTGGCACAAAATAAACGAAAATGTTGACAGCAAGACAGCTATACGGACGACCCATACGATTTCTATTGGTATTTCATGCAATGTCCCAACAATATCATAATCGTCTCTCAACAATTTAATACATATAATTGTAACTAAGACATTCCCTCTTTATACGATATGAGATATTCACAATGGAATGAAAGGCTTTCAATGACATCTTTTAAAATATATATTAATATTATAGTTTGTTCTTGGTATTATGATAATTTTTAAATCTCTTTTGAATTTATAGGTCTTGTGTATTCAGTATACGTTTTTGCATACGTTTGTGTCTATTACATTATTTGTCATTCTTAATTTCCCGTGGCATTTGGAATTCCTACACTTTCACTTCTTTTCGCATTTCTTTCATTTCTACCAGAAGCTGGCTCATATCGCTTTTAAGATCATCATTTTGTGACTTAATTTTCTTATATTGTGTACGAACTTTTTATATTTCTTTAGAATGTAGCTGAATCACTCTGTAAATTTCAGAATTTGCAATTAATCAGCTCCCAACATTTCAACTTTGCTATCACTAATGCTTTTCTTTCGTTTAGATTCCTTCAGATCATTCATTGGAGCTTTCCATATCATTCATTTCTGTATTGTACGTCAGACTTTGGTAGACATCATGCATTTCTGTATTGTCAGACTTGGGTAGACATCATTCAATTCCTTCTTTAACTCCGCCACCTCCGACATTACCTTTACCCTCTCTCCAGTTTGTTCAGTTTTATGCTTTAAAAGTTCTTTGTTGGTTTCTTGAAGAAGACATATACCCTTTTCGGCTTTTTGAATATTTCTTTCGAGCTCTTCAATTTGCTTTATTTTTTCGCGAATTTATCTTTTGTGCTGTATCTGCATTTCTGCTATTTCATCCTCCCGATCATCTAAAGATTCTTTCAGCTCTCTAATTTTTCGACCTGCCTCATCACGAACTTTGTCATTTTCCTCTTGAATTTATAGTCAGACTAATATATATTACGTTTTGCAGCTATGTTAATTGATAAATATGATATATCTACGTGTCGAGTTGCAGACTACAGCAAGTCTTTTCTACTTCTCAAGTTTTTAAAATAGACTCTGCTTCATAAACTACAACTTCTTGTATACAAAAAAATAGGTCTGTTGTATATCAGGATGCATATTCCATCAGATTGTTGGAAGACCTGGCCGCAACAGACTTATGTCAAGTTTTTGATTTTTAACATCATGCGGTTTTTTTTAATATAATTATTGTACTTATTTGAAAATATGCAATTTAATGTGAAAAATGATTTTCATTTCTTTGTTGAAGTGTTTATTTAACTGTTAATTCTTATTCTTACTTTATGGTCTTGGAATTGACCTTCAAAAACTACATAGATATTGTCAATTAACAATTTCGACTTTAATTTTTTTGGAGTTTTATTTTCTATCGCAAACATTTTAAAAAATTACTTATAATAGTTTACCTAAAACATTTATATTTATCTGCTTTAAAGTGTAAAAATTGAAAATTCTTAAATTTTAACGTATAATGTTTTTAATTGTTTAAGAAATTTTAGTTGCAGACTTTTAAAAATTGATTAATTAAAAAAAATTTTACCAAAAAAATATTTTCAAGAACGATAATGAAAAGATAACTCTTGTAAATGAATGCATGTCATTTTACAAGCACAGAAAACAATACGATATTTAATTGTGAGGTATAATATTACTGATCTTTCTATTAATTTACCATAAAATATTTTCTTCACACCATGATTGATAGACATAATATTCATTTCTGAAAAAGTAAGCAAAGCTTCATACTTAACACATTTTCCATTCGAATCTAATGGTTGTTGAAAATTAATGCTGGGAATAAAAAAAATCATCGAATTTTGGAGCAGAGGAATATTTCACTTGACCTTAAATCTGAACACGACGCTTAAAATTTTCGATATTATGTTGAAGGATCAATACCGGTATTTACTAAAATTGTACTGAAAATGGTTGATGTATAGTTGTATACTTCTTCAATTAATATACATGTAGAATAAAATAATTGACAAGGAGGAAGTAAACTAACACTGACTTACATGTAATCTGTGTTAAATACATTACATACAGAAAGAATAACCGAATAGCAAGTGGATAGGGGTAAAACAATTTATATATTTCAACAACTTAAAATAAATAAATAAATATAAATCATAGAGCTCACACAAACATATACATGTAGACTTTCCGATAGTAATAAGAGAGATATGAAACAATATTTTAACTTTTCATGTGCAATGCAACTAAAATACTTGTATGTGTTAATTAAATAACAAGGAACAATATTAACAAAACTTAAAGTAATTAGTTCTTATCACTGCACACGTGAAAACACTCTTCGGAATTTCCAGTAAGCATCCTCTTCTTTGTACTAAGTACCTTAATTAAGGATTTCCTGTTTTTTAAGTTTAAAAAGGTGGATAAATACAAATCATGTTCGATCGGGATCGGGATTGCAGTATGAAAACATGTGATTTCCCGGTAAAGTCAAAACATCTTTCTTCACAGTTTTGGATACAAGTTGTAGTTTTCCACAATAATAGACGTAATCATATGAATAGAGGTAATTAAGTATGTAAAAATGAATATGATTAACATCGAAACTGCGTTTGCTGAATTTGTTATTTAAATTCAAAAACGTTATAAAAGACACAAATATTATATCAATTAATATGAACTATTTATTTAGAACATAAAATATGAAATATAATATTTTCAGGTTTAAATTTAGATATTTTCCTTTAAAAAATATTGAACAATGTAATAAAAATCCTTATTCACTATAACATTCGTTAAAAATCCTTTCTATAATATTACAATATCATTTAAGTACTTAAAAACTAATAAAAAATACCTTTCAACAATAATAGATTGTCACCCTTAACGGCTGCCGTATCTCTATCTAGCACAAGAACCCGTATGTTATACAAACGTATCTAGGTAACTAGGTCATAGCAATACCTACATATTTACAATGCACAACTTGTATCATTAAAACGGTAATAAAAATACGATAATATTTATTTTAAATACATAACATTACTACAAGTAAACAGTACTCGAGTCAAAGTATAGAATAAATACGAAATTCT